TATTTCAAAAAATTTAAGTCTTTTAAAGTCCCTGTATAATAAAATACAGTAATTTTGTTGTACAATAGTGCCATATAAATGGATTTTAAAACAATTTTATTTGCTTTAACAAATTCCTTTACAAATATAAAAGACATAAAACTAGAAATGTGTCCATAAGAGATTAAGACACTTCTCCCCTTTCACTTCTCCTTCATTTGCTGCCACACAAGCAAAATTTAATTACTTATGCAAGTTTCATAAAAATCAATAGTTATAATAAAACATGTTCTTTTTCTGATTTTATCACATTTGTTAACATATCTTGGTGGTAAATCTACCTAACCAGCTTTCCCTGGATAACTATTATGTAATTTTCTTTTTTTTCTCCGCAACTGACTGATTATTAACCCTACATGGTTTCTGTATCAGCAGATGATGACAAATTGTCACATTGGTGCAGTAAGGGAGTAACTTCTTGTAAATTTAATAGGAGTTAATCAGTTATTGAACTGAGGTGACGAAATAAACTCAATGTCTGAGATAAATTATCGGGGAGAAATTGCGATGTTCTCCATACTGAGCTAAGCAGACGGACATATTAAAGCTGCACGCCTCCAGATGAGCAAAAATATTTCATGAAAATCAATATTGAGAAAAATGTTCTAGAATTTTAAGAAATGTAACAAGAGGGCCATGATGGCCCTGAGGTCGCTCACCTGTATATAGGCCCCCGCAATTTGAACAAACTTGGTAGACACTTATTAGAACATGTTTCATGCTAAATATCTTAGCTCTAACTCTTTTGGTTCTTTAAAAGAAGATTTTTGAGCTACAGATCAATCCTGTAAAGTTTCATTGAAATTGCATTAGTGGTATAAAAGAAGAAGTCCAGACAAACTTTAAAAATAAAAATTATTAAAGGGCCATAACTCTGACAAAAATCATTGAACCGCAAAATGCTGACAATGTGCTCAACTAGACTTGGTACTGATAATTCCTGTAAAGTTTGTATGAAATTGCACCAGTAGTTTATGAGGAGTAGTCAGGACAAGTTTTGTGACGGACAGACAGACAGACCGACGGAGAAGTGATCCCTATATGTCGCCACTACTCCGTAGAGGCGACACAAAAACTTAATGAAGATACCTGTAGTATCAGCAGCTTGTCTCATTAGACGTATAAACAAAGGTCTTGAATATGACGGCAAAGATTTCTGCAACGCCATACACAGTTCGGTCAGATTTATCTGATCATTTGGATCAACAATTGCTGCCATACCAGCACGTCCTTCAGACCCTAAAAACATTAAAATATATATATATAAGTTCTTGTGTTTATTTTTCAACAACACACACTGTAGAAAGAGGTCATTCCATATTATTCAGTGCTTAGTGATGATTGTTAACCTTGACCTTTTGGCCAAAATTTGGTATGGCACTAAGGACGCTTCAAGGTTAATCTACACAAAAAAGTTTGATGTTCTAAGCTTAATACACTTTCAGTGACCTAGACCTTTGACAGGTGTGACAGGTAGAACTTATCAAGGTGCATACATATACTTTGTTTTATGTCAGAAGCATTATTAGTATTGAATTAAGCGCCCATAAATGAAACTTAAACTACAAAGTTAATTAACACTTCCACCAAAATAGGTCATGGCAAAAGTTCCAAAAAATGCTACAAAGGAAGTCTAAACAACAGCTCTTGAGTCAAAACCCAGATAACATCATATATTAATTATTACCACCCTAAATGTCTTCAATGGACATGTCCATCTTACAACCCAGACAAACACATTCATGATTTTTAGGGTAAAATTTCAAAATATTTACTGACTGAAAAGAAAACAGTGCAAACCATGATTAGAGGGCAACTGACATGATGGACCATGATTAGACCGCATGGGTGTGCCAAATGCTCTTGGTCTGCACTGGTTGCATAGGAAGAATAAAGTCATGCTAGCAACCACATTAAATTTGTTCTAAATTTATTTAAAATTCTCAATTGCAATGTCTTTTTGTTTGTTTGTCTGTTTTTGACGCCAATTTTAACCCTGTCTGCCTTTAACACCAATCTTGACCCTGTCTGGCTTTAACACCAATTTTAACACTGTCTGGTTTAAACACCAATTTAATCCTGTCTGCTTTTAACACCAGTTTTTGCCCTGTCTGGCTTAACACCAATTTTAACCCTGTCTGGCTTTAATGCCCATTTTGACCGTGTCTGGTTTGAACACCAATTTAACACTGTTTGACTTAAACACCAATTTTTACCCTGTCTAGCTTTAACTTCAATTTTAACCCTGTCTGGTTGTAACACCAATTTTAACCCTGTCTGACTTAAACATCAATTTTAACTGTGTTCGGTTTTAACACTAATTTTTACCCTGTCTGGTTTCAACGCAAATTGTAACCCTGTCTGGTTTAAACGCCAATTTTAACCCTGTCTGGTTTTAATGCCAATTTTAACCCTGTCTGGTTTTAATACCAATTTAAATGTGTCAGGTTTTAATGCCAATTTTAACCCTGTCTGGATTTAACACCAATTTTAACCCTGTCTGGTTTTAGCGCCAATTTTAACCATATCTGGTTTTAACATAAATTTTAACCCTGTCTGGTTTTAGTGCCAATTTAAACCGTGTCTGGTTTTACTGCCAATTTTAACCCTGTCTGGTTTTAATGCAAATTTTAACCATGTCTGGTTTTATGCCAATTTTAACCGTGTCTGGTTTAAATGCCAATTTTGACCATGGCTTGTTTAAAGGCTAATTTTAACCATGTCTGGTTTTAATGCCAATTCTAACCATGTCTTGTTTAAAGGCTAATTTTAACCATGTCTGCCTTTAACACCAATGTTGACCCTGTCTGGCTTTAATACCAATTTCAACCCTGTCTGGCTTTAACATCAATTTTAACACTGTCTGGTTTAAACACCAATTTAATCCTGTCTGCTTTTAACACCAGTTTTTGCCCTGTCTGGCTTAACACCAATTTTAACCCTGTCTGGCTTTAATGCCCATTTTGACCGGGTCTGGTTTGAACACCAATTTAACACTGTTTGACTTAAACACCAATTTTTACCCTGTCTAGCTTTAACTTCAATTTTAACCCTGTCTGGTTGTAACACCAATTTTAACCCTGTCTGACTTAAACATCAATTCTTACTGTGTTCGGTTTTAACACTAATTTTTACCTTGTCTGGTTTTAACGCAAATTGTAACCCTGTCTGGTTTAAACGCCAATTTTAACCCTGTCTGGTTTTAATGCCAATTTTAACCCTGTCTGGTTTTAATACCAATTTAAATGTGTCAGGTTTTAATGCCAATTTTAACCCTGTCTTGATTTAACACCAATTTTAACCCTGTCTGGTTTTAGCGCCAATTTTAACCATATCTGGTTTTAACATAAATTTTAACCCAGTCTGGTTTTAGTGCCAATTTCAACCGTGTCTGGTTTTAATGCCAATTTTAACCCTGTCTGGTTTAAATGCAAATTTTAACCATGTCTGGTTTTATGCCAATTTTGACCGTGTCAGGTTTAAATGCCAATTTAAACGATGTCTTGTTTAAAGGCTAACTTTAACCATGTCTGGTTTTAATGCCAATTCTAACCATGTCTTGTTTTACGCCAAGTTTTACCATGTCTGGTTTTAATACCAATTTTAACCCTGTCTTGTTTTTATACCAATTTTAACCCTGTCTGGTTTTAACACAAATTGAAACCCTGTCTGGCTTTAACACCAATTTTATTCCTTTCTGGCTTTAACACCAATTTTAACCCTGTGCCATACCTGTATCATAAAACCCTGTGTAGGTTAACACCAATTCTAATACACAATTAATGTTATATAAGGGAGGTTTATTTTCCTGTAAGTGACAGACAAATCACTGTACATTACAGACAAATCACTGTACATTACAGACAAATCACTGTACATAACAGCAGGCAAAGGTTTAAACTACAATGCTATTTGGTTTTGATTTCAATATAATTATGAAACGATATTTACCTGGGACCTCCACACCATACACTACAGCGTCATTAAGTTTGATTATTTTACTAATTGTTGTCTCCACTTCAAATGTGGATACATTTTCTCCGCGCCATCTAAAGGTGTCTCCAGTACGATCTCTAAAATGCATGTAACCGTACTCGTCCATGACTAGAACATCACCTTGTATATAATAAAGAGATATTTTAAATAATACATTAATCCACTAAAAATGTGATTATTTTACACAATAATAACCTCCTAGGAATCAAAACAAATTAAGTTAACCAGCATAATTCCCATATTTCAAATGACAAATACATATTAAGGACTAAAAGAAGAAAACCCCAACATAATTCACTGAAAAATAACAAATTTATGGCAATTTTCCTATGATATCTAATTTTCTAAGTGATTTACAATAAATCCCCTACAGTGGCTATTAACAGTCCAAGGGAGATTACTTGAATTAATCATTCTTGTACTAAATTTCTACTACATTGTGATTCTAACAGATATAATTAACCTGAACACATTAAGATATACCAAATTTAAATTATAATATGTTTATAAGGCGTTTTGGAATAAAACCAATAAATAATTAGTTAAATCATTTGTTATGATAAATTATACAGCCAAATATATACAAAATAACCAAATAACAGGAGTTATCTACTCACCCCATTGAAGTAAACAACAAACAGATTATATCTTTTGCTTTACAACCTTTATGTTATTTCTGCCATTGATGTAATGTAAATATAATGGTAATAAGGAATATAGAACATATATTGGTTAGATATTGAACAATCCTTGGTCAATGTGTACAAATTTCCCTCATTCTTCATGTAATTAGACCTACAGAGGATATAACATTAGTCACATTACCAATTTATCCAAAAATAATAATGGAAATGACTGCTTATGGTAAGGCGGGGGGGTTCAGAGACATCCTATGTTGTCCTGCAGATCCATTCCATCAGGGGGAGGATGGCAAAAGACTGTCTCGGGCACTCCGGCGGCACCCTGTTTTTTCAGGGAGGGGGAATACTAGTATCCTATGTTGCTGGGGAGAGGCTCTGGTTGACTCCAGGTCTCATCTTTCTAAAACAAATTTTGATAGAAAACAAGTTTGGGAAAGGTTGACCTGAGCGTGTGGACTGGCCAAACATCAGGCAAAAACCGTTCCCAGGCTGCTTAAATGGTAAATTCCAACTGCTTCTATATAATTGAGATAATTAGATAAACAATTAGTAATTTAAAACTAACCTAATATATACGGTTATACCCTTATAATTTCTCAAATCAAACCAAAGCAAACTAAATAATAAACTAAAATGAGTAAAGAATTTAAATTTAATTTGTATATTAATTAACTTAGCATAGCAACCAGAATTTTCAACATAGGAAGAAAAGAAAAAGACGTGCATAATCTCCATACTGCCATCTATCCATATATCAAGTTTCATAAAAATATTTTCAGTACTTTTTGCGTTATCGCGGGATCCAGGTTATGTGTAAAATTTGCCATATTTTCAGTCTATTTGTTGCCATAGCAACCAGAATTTTCAACATAGGAAGAAAAGAAAAAGACGTGCATAATCTCCATACTGCCATCTATCCATATATCAAGTTTCATTAAAATATTTTCAGTACTTTTTGCGTTATCGCGGGATCCAGTTTTGTGGACGGACGGACTGACGGACGGACAGACGGACAGACGGACTGACGGACGGACGGAGGGTAAACCTAAAGTCCCCTCCGGTAAACCGGTAGGGGACTAATAAAGAACATATAGTGAACAAGGGTGCCATAGTCACAAAATACGCCCGTTTACGAAAAAGCTTTAGATGGAGATGGGGGCAATATGGATAAGTGTTATCTAGCAAGCAAGTTTTTATTCTTGGCACTGTGTTGTTAAATGAACCTTAAAACAAATCAATAGGGAAGATATGCACAGAATGTGTGACCTTGACCTTGGTCGCAGGGACCTGAATTTTATGCACGGCACTCAGCCTCACAATGATGAACATTTGTGCCAAATTATATTGAAATCCCTCTATGCATGTAGAAGTTTTGCTCCAGACAAGTGTTTTTCTATGAGCTCTAACTGTGACCTTCACCTTTGACCTAGAGACTTGGTTTATGTGCAGGGCACTACGTCTCATGGTGGTGAACAATTCTATAAAAGTAACATTAAAATTCCTCCATGCATGTAGAAAATATGCTCCGGACAACATCTGGATATTTAATCATCTCCAGTGACCTTGACCTTGCAAATATTAACCTAAATTAAATGTGTAACACCTGTAGTCATGATAGTTACCATTTGTGCTACAATCCATCAATAAATGATGACTAAATGGTCCCTATAACCATCTTCAAATTTTTATCTGAACTTTGACCTCTATGTGTAACCTTGACTTTGGTCGCAGGGATCTGAATTTTGCATGCGACACTCAGCCTCACAATGGTGAACATTTGTGCCAAGTTATATTGAAAACCCCCTATGAATGTAGAAGTTTTGCTCCGGACAAGCGTTTTTCAATGAGCTATAAGTGTGACCTTGACCTTTGACCTGGATCATGCATGGAGCAATACATATCATGGTGGTGAACATTTCCATAAAGTATTATAAAAATTCTTCCATACATGTAGGAGATATGCTCCAGACAAAATCTGGATATTTCACCATCTTTAGTGACCTTGACCTTGCATATATTGACCTAAAGTACATGTGTCACAGCCGTAGTCATTATAATGACCATTTGTGTTACAATCCCTCAATAAATGATGATTAAATCGTCCCTATACACATCTTCATATTTTTATCTTTTTTTAAACGGGCGTATAAAAAGTACATGTAATTTAATAACTAAAAAATTCTGATTTAAGATTTTATTCTAGGGAAATACATTTCATTATAATTCTTAATCTTTGAATGAGCTGAACTGATATTTACTTGAAAATTAAAATATAATTAAATTTCTATGAGAAAGTATTTACATTTGATAAGGTAATTACTGTATGATCTTTGATAAATGATAAATGTTACATTCTTTAGAACATACTCAAGTCCAAGAAAGAGGATTATTTCATGCCCTTTGATTAAATTCTATTTTTAGAATTGAAAGTGAAAATAGATCAAGGGGAGTAATTGTGTAAGTCATTTATGAACAAAGTACAGGGTTCCCACTCTTAGATATTTTGAAAATTAAAGGACTTTTCCAGGACTTATCAAGGACCTTTTTTGATTTTTTAAGGACTTTTTAGAAGATTAAATTTCACACTATTCAATTTTTTGTCCTATGAATATTTTCATGGTAATGTTTAAAACAACATTTAATAACACCAATATAATACATGTAGTTCATGACATAAATCTAACTCTATCTAAGAAATACATTCAGTGTCTATAAATAATGAAATGTACTTTGTGACAGCAACTGTTGCAGGGTGTCTGCAATTTTCATGTAATTTTGGTGTTTTTAATGCTTCCAAGGGATCACTTTTTTTACAAGATATTCATAGTACTTTAATAAGTAACCTCACATTTGACCTCAGTCCACTTAGGTGCATTGAATGGCAAAAGCATGTCACACTGAAGGGTATATGAAAACTGCCTGCAGGTGTTTCTACATTAAAAATTTCACAACTTTCATGTTTAAATGTTGTACTCTGCTTAAGCCTGTGCTACGGGTTCTACAAAATATGGCGGCAGCACAAAATACCCAAACACACACAATTATAGCAATATTCATTTTGGTTTGTATACAATATAGATTTTAATGAGAAAATGAATTGATATTTACAAAATAATGTGACTTAGCCAACTATTACTTTCATTCATTCCATTGAAATTTTCAGTTCAGATGTTGTAAGAAAAAAAAGTGACATTTGCTTTTCTAACTGTTAGGTTCATTAATGAATAGACAAATGTACTTGCAAGATATGAGATTTGTTGTCTACATTTAAATTTGTAGGGTATAATTTTGTTGTAATTTCATATGTAAGTTCATTCGTATTATTTTTTTTATTTAATAGTTTTCATGGAGTATACTGTATTTGGGTATATTTTGGTTCAAAAATGTATATTTGGGTATGTTTGATTACATCTTAATGAAAGTGCATATTGTATTCATGATTAAAACAGCACTTTTTTTAGTATAACACATTCATTTTTAGTATATTTTGGCTAATATTTGGGTATTTCTTGCTACCCAAATATGGTGTGGCCAACTGGCTGTGCTCTGCCTTGACAATAGTTCATGTATGTAATACTTTTGTTTATTTTATATTGATTTACCTTTGGCTTTTAGCATGGTTGTGAGCAATAATGTTAAACAAATTGCCCAAGGAAGCAACCAGACCTGTGAACTTTCATGTTTCTTAGCACGGGCCAATCAAGCAAACTTGTGGTCGATTTGTGACTGTCTAAATTCTTATAGAATCTAACATTTTCCAAACAAAACCGCCATAGTAACCAGAAAATAAATGTTAAATCTCATAAATGTCAAACTTGGCCTCCCAAAACACATGTAAATCGAAAAATAATCAACATTCAAGATGCGGAAGTCAATATACTGTGCTAAGACCGCCATTTTGGTTGTTTGATTTACCTCCCCTTTTCCAGACTAATTCCCGTACCTTCCCGGACTTTTTTATGTATCAACACTAATTCCCGGACTTTTCAAGGCCGGGAGCTCCTGTTTTCAAATTCACGGACATTTCCCGTTTTCCCGGACAGCGTGGGAACCCTGAAAGTAATAACTTTGTTGTCTCCCTTTGATTAAATTCTATTTACAAAATCTGGATATTTCATCATCTTTAGTGACCTTGACCTTGTATATATTGACCTAAACAAGATATGTTTGTAAAACATGTATGCCCCCTATCAGCAGCCAATTAGTCATGTGATAAGGTTATTATGCATGACTTCTGACCCAGTGATCAAAAAATTAATAAGGGTTATCAAGTATCTACTGGTCATGACCTTAACCTTTGACCCCTTGACCCAAAACTCAATAGGGGTCATCTGCTGGTCATGACCAATCATCATACAAAGTTTGAAGTTCCTAGGCCTAAGCGTTTTTAGTTAATTGAACGGAAACCGTTTTTACCTACAAGGTCAATGTGACCTTGACCTTTGACACCTTGACCCCAAAATCAATAGGTCATCTGCT